TGCTAATCTTACCAGAATAGTAAATGTCAGCAGTTGTGCATCTTTGTGACAGAAACTCCTTCTCTCTCATCTACCAAACACAAAAACCTGTATTGTGGAGCTCACAGCATATGCCTGGGCATCCACTGGTTCACTGTCATGCTGGTTGAAGCAGATCATCAGATTTGAAGCTTCAAGGGTTAAAACATAAAGTTTGCCCAACTGTACCTAAAGGTGACTTGGCAGGAATAAAAAAGAAAGTGGGCTTGACCAGCAGCAAAATCAAAAACACCTTTGAATCAACTAGATGCTCTCCTGTGCCTGCTCAGGGAATAGGATTACCTATGATGAGCACGGAATGGCAATGTACAATCAGGCACTTCTTCCAGGCATGATAATTCAGTCTCCTTCTATGGATAACTACTTAGAGATGTCTAGGATGAACAGTTAGCTCTGATGGTACTGCTGAAATTGTTGATGACATTATTCAGAAACAAAGAAATTGCCAGTTTTTAAAGTTGACTAAAAGGCTGAGAACAAAAATCTTCTAGCACACATTTAGTAATTAGTTTGCAAAATGTAATGCAATGAGTGCAGAAAGCCACTGGACTCTGTCTACTCAGTTAAAGAATCTCAACATTTTGATGCAAACTCAGTGTGGCAAGACAGACACTGCCCCATGTCCAAATGTGGATTAGAGGAATCACCAGGTAGAGCAAGGGTAGAGAAGGATTTGCTTTCCATGAGGGTCCTCTGCTCAGAGGATTTCTAGGAAATAGTTTTTAAGTGGCAAGGATTTCACCTACATATAACTAAGAAGCATCTAAACCCCCTTTTGATTTACACTTCAAAAAACAAATGGTAGCCCATGCATCTGAAGACCATGTTTTTCTCTTTTAAAAGGACCCCACAAGACAAATGCATGCAGAAACAGCATGCCTTGATAATTCACTTGCAGCTGCAATAATTGCATCCCTGTACTCTTCTTCCGGAGAGAAGTGGGGAGAGGAAGAGGAGAGGGAGAAGGCACATGCAGGAAGTGGCTGCCAGCCATATGGCCAGGAACACCTACAGGCTGAAGTTATGGTATAGTTTCAGCTCTTCCCCAAGTCCTATTTTACTTCATTTTTGTTAATTTTTCTTGGAAAAAAAAATTATTTGTCCACTGGTAAAAAGAGAATATTCCTTAGCCTTGGTGTTCCCTTGTAATAAGATCTCAGCTTGTAGTCTTTGCAACAGCAAAATGCTCATGTGAGGAGGGGAAGACTGAAAATAAAAAATCATTGGTCGTAACTCAACAGAAGGGCTTCTTTAATAAATTTTGTCAAAACCTTCCACTCTGGCCCACAACATGGGTTCAAAACTTTTATATCCCAAGTAATAATACTATTGTATTATTGTAATATATAATACACATAACTATTCTTCAAACGTCTGAAAAAGCTACTGGAAATACAATGCACAAAGCTTTTCCATACAGGGGCCAGTGTTTAGCTTGGCATAACCTGGGACTTTGGAAGCAGTTACATCTAGGCGGGTACAACATGAGAACCCCACAAACCCTCAGTAGCTTTTGTTACACTCTTATAGAAAAAACTCTCCCCTCCTTCCTAACCACTCTGGTTAATGATGAAAAATGTCATCATTTACAACTTCACCTTTTGTCCCCTGAACCAAATAGTGGAAGTCTACGGTAGGAATAATTCAATGTGGCAGCTTATCTTTTTGCCCAGTGGGGGTCTTCACTGAAGTGTGGTTATGAAAGTGATTTCCGTGTTGATGATGACTGAAGCCTTTATGATTCAGATCCAAACTTGTTTAAAAAAAGCAGGAGGATCCCACTATAACACTCAGAGAGTATCTTCACATTTCAAAAGAAGTGAAACTGAGATGATATGTAGCACACATGGTACTCAGATTCTTCAAAAGCAAGCCACATAAAAAATGTTATATATAGTGGCACATCGTAATAGAAGCGCTTGTAAACTCTTATTTGCACATGTTAATAAGACAGCAATGAAAATCCAGTCAGATCTAAAGCTTGGCATTGTTATTTCTCAGCCAAAGGGTTTGTTTTGAAGTGCAAACTACAGAGAAATAAACTTTATCATGGGAAAACAACAGACTTGATTACATCTCAATCATTGAAAAAAACAAAACTGACCCTAAGAAAATTCTTTGAATACTGTTCTAATTTCCTGTGATTGCACTATTGTTACTGTGCTTGCAACACAATCTTCCTGTGCTTAAAAAGCAAAAATGTAAGACATACAGTTTTAATTTATATGAGGATGGTATCAGTGTTCAAGGTAACAGAACAGAGAAATGAAGTGAGAATACATGTTTTGTATAAAGAAAACATACGTATATATATAACCATATTTAAAACACTGTTATTTATGCTGAAATATATTATGAATACAGATTTCATATATGTAATAAATGTAATATATAATACACTATATATATAAAGCATAACAATATTTTCACATAATGAAAGGTCAGTATATATAACATTTTTATATATTTATTATTTATATATAAATGTTTTATGTGGCATGTAGCATATTTATGTAATATAAGAAATTATAATATATGAAATAAATTGTATATGACATGTTATAGAAAGAAATAGCTTCTAAATAGTAACTTCTATATGAAGTTAAGTTCCAGAGTAAGCTGCTTAACATATAGGAAGTCTTAAGTCTTATTTTTCATTAATGTATTGTAAATCTTCGAGTCTAATTAACTTACTCTGTAAGTTACTTGTAACTACATAGTAATACATTGAAAAAGCTTAAATTTGATTAACTTAACTGAAATAATGGAATTATTTCTGATAGAAACTCACATAGGTGGGTTCATTTGTTGGGATCAATACAAACTGTCCCATAAGCTTAGATTTATCCACTGGAGGGAAAGCAAAGACTTAATTAACTGTATCTTCACATTCTTTCTTCCAAGTTAGTTTACATTTCCAAAAAACAAATATTCAAAATAAAACCAAGCAATTCAAACTGTCAAATACTAACCACAGAAGTTTAATTTCAGATGTGTGTGAAGAGACAGAACAAACTTCATCCCTACGACAGTATCTTGTCCCTTCCTCTTTTCAGTGTGACTTCAACCTTCAACAGGGCCATGAGGAGCAGCAATATAAGGTAGCCTGACATGTCAGAACAACTCACTGGTGCACCACAAAACATGCTCCTTAACACTGACATTACTCAAGTGGTATACTGGGTCTGTCTGGGATGAAGTCACTAAATTAATCTTCCTCACAGCAGCCCATGGGTGCTGTGTTTCCCAGCTGTGGCTAAAACCATGTTGGTAACAAACCACTGTTTTGGCTGCTGCTGGACAGGGCTTGCACAGCATCAAGGCTTTCTCTCCACGCTCTTCACCATAAAGGCCAGGAGGATGGGGGTGGGTAAGAGATTAGATGGCAACATAGGTGGGGTAGCTGACCCAAACGGATCATAGGAAATCCCATATTGTACAACATCATGCCCAGCAATAAAAACGCAGAGAATGGAGGAGGAAGAGGAGATGTTTAAGTTTATGGAGTTTCTCTTCCCAAGCAACCATTACATGTGCTGAGGGCCTGCTTCCTAGGGAGCAGCTGGATGTTTACCTATTGATGAAAAGTAGTGGATGAATTCCTCTTTTTTTTAGTGGTTTTGTTTGTTTGTTTTGTTTTTGTTTATGTGTGCAGCTTTTGCTTTTCTTATTAAACTACCATCTTAATCCACAAGTCTTTTCACCTTCCTTCTGGTTTTCTCCCCATCTCCCAGGAGAGGGAAAAGAGCAAAAGGTAGTGTAGGTGTTTGATTGCTGGCCATGGTCAACCCACCACAACTTGTTTAGTACAAATGGATTTCAGGAGGGGAAGGCATTTTGCAAGACCAAAGCAGTATGTCATACTTCATTTTTTCACAATAGCATCTATCTCTTTCAAAGTCTCCTAATGTACAAAAGGAAATGAAAAGCATGTGCATTTCTTTACCTAGCAGATACTTACTGATGATATCCAAAGTCACTGAGCCTGTGGAATCTTCATCCTTGGAGATATTCAAAAGTCAGTTCAGGACATAGCCCTGAGTTACCTGATTTAGCTTTGAAGTTGGCCCTGCATTGAATGGGGCTTGGACCACATGAACTCCAGTAGTTGCCCTTTACCTGAATTATTCTACAGTTCTGTGATCTTATACTCTTTGCTTCTTTCATAGCTGCATTTAAAAAAGCTATTTTCAGCTTTTCAGCTGAATGGGTTTTATATGCAGGTAATTTTCATGATAAGTCAAGGTGCCTGCATTAAGGAGTTAGGCTACTTGCTCTTTCCCTGTCTTTCCTAGTGTTTTCCTTTTTCTGCCAACAAAGAAACTATTAATCAGAAGCAACATAAATAACATAAATAACATAAATAAACACACATAAGTGGATGAAAAAGTATGGCTCAGAGCAAAAGGCTGCCCTAATTCTGAATTACTCTTCTCAGTTTGAAAATAAAAACAACAAACCAATAAACCAACTCAGTAAGCAACATTTTAATAACGTGTGAGCGTTTATTACAAGCATAGATATGCAAACATGTAGACTGTTTTAGTTTTCTGAGGAATTCAGTGAATCCAGAAGGCACTGAAGTCAGGAAGAACAATTTCTGGTTGCAAAGTATCTCCATAACACTCTAAGATAGACACAAAATGAGTGAAGAGTTTCTTTTATTCAAGGCAGCCCTATTATTGATCTGGATCTGAATTTGACTTAAAAGAACTTTTCACCTCCTCCTCTGCCTGCAAGTGGGGAGATCTGAGACATGCCTTCCACTGCATCCTACACAGTCTACAATTTAAAGCCATCTTCTCCATCACCTAAGCATGATTCCCTCTGCTAAAAAAGTAGGACCACCTTGACATGATCACTGACAATATCAGGATCATCTTTTCTGTATCACTGTATCTTTTCAAAATATGCAGGACATATCAGCATATCATACTATGGGTGATCTCTCTGCAACTTACCTGTCAATAATGGCACACATGTCAATGGTGACATTAGCAAAGCTTCCCAGCTGGCCTTGCTCCACTGCATGCAAATCCACTAGCTGATCATCCACGTGAATAAACTGCATGCATCCTTGAAAAGAATGTTGAAGTAGCGAGTGATCCGAGTCATTCATCTGTACAGGAAACCCTGCAGAGCACCAAAATAAAGATCATTATTAACATTATTACTTAAACCAGGTTTTTTCCTTAGGAAAAGAGAGATGTTTTCTAGACGAGGGAAGAAAAAAAGGATTTATTATACAATTATTCATTAACATGGAAATGTTGTTAAGTAATTGGCTGAACCTGAAAGTATTTTTATAGTATTTTTAAGTATTTGGCTTATATTTTTTTATAGTGTTGTTAAGTAATTGGCTGAACCTGAAAGAATTTTTATAGTACAGCTGACTATCAATTAATTTTTGCCTAAAGGGTGGAAGTCTTCTGCTACCCTTCGCGTCCTCAAGTCCTCTACTGCTGTTTCTCATTCTTTCTCTCTCATAATAAGGGAATAGAAAAAGGATTTATCTCCTTGCTATATTTTAGGAATCTCATTCCAATTTCTCTGATTTTTCTGAATAAAAATGTATTCCATGCACACCATGAAGTGAATTTCCAGTTCAGCTTTCTCTAGGTCTAGGCTTCCTCTTTTTGTCATTTTGTCTTTTTGTTCATGGGCAATGAATACTTGTGCCAGAAACTTTCTGTAAACTTGAAAATAGCCCTAAAATCTAATGTCCTGGACCACTTCTGAGGAATCTGAGGACATTCTGCAGTATTTTCTGTTTCGATCTGAATACATTTATTTTCTTGTCTGTCTGAAGGTGGTTTGTAAGAGATGAGAATGAATTAGTGTCTTGCTCAGGCTAAAAGGCAGGGAAACAGAGGATCTTTGTATGCAATTGTCTAACTGAATGCCCTTCAGAAGTGAATGTGTCAATTTACTTGAGAAAAACATCCTTGATAAGACAGTGGAGAGCCTCATTCACTACTTGTAAATCTTTAACAATGACCTCCCTGAAAAACCTTCAAGAAAATAATTTAGTCAGAATCTGTTTAAGAGGTCCATGAGATCACGAAGGAAGAGAGAGGGGTTAACAACAGTTTATGGGTAAAAAAAGTAAAAAGTCTGAAAATGCATAATGGTTTAGCAGAGTTCAGTTGGATAGATGATCAGCCATGATCTGTCAGTCAAAGGGTAAAAGAATCACACACATTTGTTTTGGCAGCTAAAACAGGTTATGCAGTTCCCATTCCTTCTCCCACTTTCTGATCCAGCTTGTCTACATCTCCAAAGCCTTAGTGCCTTCTTCAACAGCATTTGTGGAGACAGGAGAATTACAGATTATCAAACCGATACTTTGAACAGCAGCAGGAAAAAAGGGAATGAACATAATTTTAAATTCCGTTCCTGAACACAGTTTATCACATTTCACACAAGTAGCTGAATTGGCTAAAAGAGAGGGCAAAAAGTGGAGGACAGAAACAAGCAACTGTGGCTTGAGGACAGATGATGCCTAATTTGGCACCTATTACTAAAATAACCCCAAGTTAAACATTAGCCTTTCCCAAAACATAATGGAGTCACATTTTAACTGAAAGGTTTTGCCTGAGCATTCATATAATCAGTAACGCTTTTTAAGGTTTTCTGAAACAACCTTGCCCATCATCTAAATTTACTTACTTAAGTAAACATTTACTTCAGAGTTCACTGGTTGTGGCCCAGAATTAATCAGGGATGTTATAGTAATTAAGCAGTGACAAAGCTAAAAGTTATCTCTGAGAGGTATTTTAAGAAGTTGGGCAAAGGCTTGCCTTGGGGTCATATCACCTTTGGAGTAAAATTGCAGGGAGTCATAAACTGCTATGGGGAAGGTAAATAAACCCCTCATACTAATACACATCCACTGGAGAAGGAAAGCTCCTAAGGATCCCCCAAATGCCTAACTAGCACATAATAACCTCATTTTTATTTTAGATTGGCAGAAAATTCAAGTTGTAGGGACATGATTTATATTGCCTTCCCATTGTGTGCATTGACTAGTGACTTATCTGATGAAAAGGGGACAGGGCTTTCAGAAATCTACCTCCAACTTTTTAAGAGTTTTTCTTTCCAGTGGCTGATTAAACTGTTAAAGGCTTTACATACAACAGTACAGAGAGACAAAAGTGCAAGATAATTCTCTGTTTTCCGGAGGATGCAAGCACAATATTTGCATGTTCCTAATAGGTGATTTCTCCAATTATATTTAAGGATGACACTCTTGCAGCATAACTGTCTGTTTTTTAAAATGTCACTGAAAGTACCCTATAACTGCTTGAAAGAAGAATCCCCAAACTAACACCAAGCACATGGTCATTTAGATCTTCAGTGCATTAGCAGAGCTGTTTCCACCTGTGTATCATCTTCCAGTTCAGAGCACTTCCACAATTCCTTTGTTTTAAATATTAAATTCAAAGTTTCCAGCACTGGGATAAACTCTTAGCAATGTTCATGTAAACCTAGCACAGCCAAAGAAATTACACAGTTATATCTGAATATAAGAAAGATTATCCACTGGCCTTCAAACACTACCTGAAAAATAAGACCAAAATTGAGAGCCGCAATTCACTCTTCACAGCATAAAGAGTATGAACTAGATATCTAAGGTACATATGTATTATTAGATTTAATAATATATTTAAGCAAATTGCTATTAATACTTCATACTGTTCAAGAACGAACCATAGAGGTATTCCAACATGTGATTCTCAGCTTCACTGCATTTAAGTATCAGTTCTTGGCATACACAATATTAGTACACAGTTATTACTGCTCTCTAGGACAGTCTCTGTGCTTTGCTACTGGTTGAACCTGCAGATAGGAAAGTGGCATCTGGGTCCCCCAGCCTTGGTGGAGACCCCAGATCCCTGCATTCACTGACTGGTGATGGAGGAAGTCATGGGATGGAGTGGCTGGAGGTGGCAGCTGCTCCAACCTAACTACATAAATTAAGCTTTCCTCTATTGCCCAAGATCGTGGTGTACACTGAGCATTAGTCATCTTGGGATTCTGATTTTTGCTGTAGCTATCAATGGATAAAAGCTGTAATTTTCTCATTCATGCGTCTTTTTTTTTGCCTCTCTTGCTGCTACTTGATTTGCTGTTTGTAGTCATGTAAGAAAACTGGAAGGGGGTGGGGGGGTTTATGCGCTATTAGAGCACATTGCATAAATTGTCTGTGAGGCTGACTGGGTGTCAAGGCATTTCAGTCATGCTGTACTATAACAGATAGTTATGCAGAGATAATTTCAAAAGCAACCAGATAAGCCTTGTCTATAAAACCCACAATGGTTTTGAACTACTAGTCTAATGCCCATTACTTTTGGTGGGAACTGAATACTTCAGATAATTCCAATGATAATCATTTGAGCAACACTTCTGCCTGAAACATAAACCTCTAAATGACCTAGCACCTTGTGGTTGTTAATTCAATACACACGACAACATCATCTCCTTCCAGATTTCCATTATTGAGACATTATTCACTTCCTCAACCTTCCCACAATGAATGAAATCTTAAATAAATGAAGTTCTATAACCAAAGCTGACAGTAATGGTGTCACTAGAAAGGTTAAATAACGAATGAACAATTTGGACAGTATTGTACTGATCTTGTTGACAAGAAACTATGTACGTTTACAAAATGCACATAAAGTGCTGTTTAGACATTTAAAACAATGTTCATGCTTATGATTACAAATGCATTGTAAAGTAGGAAAACTGTTATCCTGTAATTTCTACGTCTTTCTGGGTTTTTCCATACAGAATCTGTATCTTAAAATTTTATTTTTCACATCTTAAGACTGCAAAGAGATGGATTATCCTGCAAAGGTCAGACATGGATTAAATCTGAATTTTCCTACATTCAATAAAATTTGTATCCAGGACTTCATTCTGACTTACCAAATACAGAACTGCCAAAACTCTAGATCCAGCTCCTGTTCCTATTTTAAACTTGCAAAAAAAATCAGGAAATCTATAATTTTAATTAATGCTCTTTTCTATATTAGAAGTCGCTTTAATAAAGTAAAATGAAAAAAATCAAATTAATTATGTTAAGTATAATAAAACACTTATGAAATAACAAAAAAAGTATTCCTTTTCCAGTGTCAAGATCTATTATGTCTCTCTTCCAATCAACTGAATAATGTTCTGTCAAATGTATTATAAGAAAGGAAGTTGAAGGAAGAATACATTCAGGTCCATAGTATAATAATGGAAGAACATACAATCAGAAAATGTCTTTAAACATCTGATACACTACTTGTTTCTGAGATCTGACCTGAAATGAAAGAATGGAATACCATACCAGACACTGAATGTGCAATTCAATAATATTTAGTATCCCTATATTAAACACTCATATTTTCTTTGAAATGTAATGCAAATTTTATTATAACAAGAAGATAGTTTATTTTCTCTAGCATTATAAATTTTTTCCTTTTGTTTCATTTGTAAGTTAATGATGGGCCAATGCTTGTATAGACATGGTACTTGATATTTTATGTCTTTAAAGGACAATATACTCTCCATTAAAAAAGAAAAAGTAACTGTTATCTTTGATATCTAACTGTTAGTCTATATTGTCTTTGGCTAGTGGAATGGGTAGATAAAGGATCTAGTAATCAATAGAAAAAATGACTGATCTTAATTCTGGCAGTGATTTATATTTGTAGGGTATTTCAAATATATACCCAGGATCCCTGCTGTGCAGAATGAAAGAAAGGAAACAAAATTTTTTATTGTTCAGGATAAATAGCAGTGCAGCCTCATTCAAGTAACAAGTAATTTTCAAATTTTCTATACACATCAAACAGAGTTAAAAGATGTTATTCTGAACCCATAGAAAAAACCTTAAATTCAGTGCCTAACAGTGTACTTAGATTGAAGATTAGTTGATCTTTTACATGATAATAAGTAGGAATAGACATTAAAAGAAAAGATCAATCCACTACTGACCCAAATTTACTATAGTATTTTATCCTTGTTTCAGTCAAACCAGAATGAGGCCCTTAGTGTGAAGTAGAAGAGAGGCAATAACTTTGGAAAAGTTCCTGCTTCAAAATCATGAAATAAACCAAAACAATTGCAGAAGAGATGAACAA